TTTAACCAATTCTTATTTATTTACTTATTTTTAGAGAAATTGGTTTGTCAGATATCATTGTTGTGAAGTGAAATGTCCCAAACTGTCGTAGTTAACACACAAAAAACAAAACAGTATGTACTGCCATCTGGCGACGGTAAGCGAAACTATTATGAAATATAGAAGTAATTCTCCTGAGTAGTGGTTTTCCTTTTTGTTATTTTCTCACTAAATCGCGAGTAATAGGAGAAGATAATAACATTGCTCTTATAAACAAATTGGGCGGGCAATTTCTTCACATCTTGCCTATCTGTCAGGCAAGGTAAATTTCATCTAAACATTAAAAATACTTTTGTGCATCAAAAAATTTCGAACTTTCATATGCGAAATTTTTATAATGTCCAAATAGTTACCAATCGTTTCGTAAGAAAAAAACTTTATATATATTGTCTTCAGTAATCGATCTCTGTTCAAGGCCGGAAAATTTGAACGATCTCGCAACCACCATAAAAAATTATGATATAAACATAAATTAGGCATCTTTCATTCTGTAATGAACACAAAGGGATTTAAATTGATAGTTATTGGACGAGCATGAGGACGTATTTGTTGTGTAAATATAAGGTAGTGACAGTACTTACTTCTATTTTAAGTAAAGGTTCTTAATAATAGTTTAGTACAGTATCCATATATTGATAGATAACTGAACTTCCAAGTACTTATTTTTTAATTTTTTTCTCCATCTATTGAGAGATAACTGAACCTCCAATTATTTATCTTAATTCTTTTGTCCATCTATTAAGAAAACGGAACTTCCAAGTATTTTTCTTAATTATTTCTCCATCTATTGAGAGATAACTGAACTTCCAAGTATTTTTCTCCATCTATTAAGAGATAACTGAACTTCGAAGTATTTTTTTCACAATTTTTTCCATCTATTGAGAGATAACTGAACTCCAAGTATTTTTCCTTATTATTTGTTTCTCCATCTATTGAGAGATAACTGAACTTCCATGCATTTTTTCTCCATCTATTGAGATATAGCTGAACTTCCAAGTAATTTTCTTAATTCTTTTCTCCATCTATTGAGATAACTGAACTTCCAAGTATTTTTTCTCCAGCTATTGAGATAACTGAAGTTACAAGTATTTTTTCTATTATTTGTTTCTCCATCTATTGAGAGATAACTGAACTTCCATGCATTTTTTCTCCATCTATCGAGATATAGCTGAACTTCCAAGTAATTTTCTTAATTCTTTTCTCCATCTATTGAGATAACTGAACTTCCAACTATTTTTTCTTAATTTTTTCTCCATCTATTGAGATAACTGAAGTTACAAGTATTTTTCTTATTATTTGTTTCTCCATCTATTGAGAGATAACTGAACTTCCATGCATTTTTTCTCCATCTATCGAGATATAGCTGAACTTC